GAAGGAAGGAAGGAAGGAAGGAAGGAAGGAAGGAAGGAAGGAAGGAAGGAAGGAAGGAAGGAAGGAAGGAAGGAAAGCAGATCTTTGCTCATAACTGATGAACTAAAACCAGCCTGCTTCTCTGTTATGAACCAATCAGGTTGATCTGATCTCAAACTCCTCCAGTATTACAGTAAAACGAATCTATTGTTTAAGAAAAATAAATTATACATCAAACCATCTTGTTGGAGCTAAAAGCTCAACAGATAAAATTTAGATTTAACAAGATTAACCTTCCTCTCCATTGATTATTTTGCCTTTTTCAGTTTCTGTTTTATCACCTTTATTATTTTACTTTCAGCCTGAAAGGCCATGTTTACAAATCAACACAGTAAACTAGAAAATCAACTGATAAGAGAAGATACCCACTAAAAGGCTCCGCTTGTTTATCAAGAATCAAAGTGTTGATAAAGCCTGCAGGCTGGTTTATCAGGCTTTAGTTTTTTTAACCAGAATAAAATGTCAGCCATTTTTCTTTATTGTTAACCTCCTCACTGCCATCGCTGATAAGATTAGCAGCGTTTTTAAATAAATCTTTAGCTCAGTTAAAACAATCAATTCCCACATCCCATAATGCCACAGGACTTTAACTCGAACCTCTGACCAGCTCTCTTTGCTTTCTCTGCAGCAATCTGTTTCTCAGTCATCAGACGTCAAAGTGGGAGAACTTCTGCTGGGTGCCGGTCATCACATTACCATGGACACTCACTTTGCAGCAGCTTCACACAGAGCACAGGTCCCTGGCTGCGGTGAACGTCCTCACTCTGTTTGGGTACAGTAGCAGTCGTTCAAAACAGCCGTTCCCAGGCAAACGCCAGCCCACTTCCCTGCAACTCCCAGCAAAATCCCTCCAACTTCCAGCCACTGCAGTGACCTCCTTTTGCATCTTTTTTTTTTTTTTTACTCTGACTCCACCCTTTCAAAATTACAGGGTCTGACCAGGAGATGGCGCTTCTCTTTCCATCCTTAATGTCCACAAATCATGACAGAAAGAATATTTTAATACAAAGTTTGGTGTTTAAAAAGAAACTGTAGATGACCAGCCAAGGACCAGCCAAGGACCAGCCAAGGACCAGCCAAGGACCAACCAATGACCAGCCAAGGACCAGCCAAGGACCAGCCAAGGACCAACCAATGACCAGCCAAGGACCAGCCAAGGACCAGTCAAGGACCAGCCAAGGACCAGCCAAGGACCAAC